CGAGGACTGCATACAAGAAACCAACCTCTTGCCTGCTGAGAGACAGTAAGCTATTAGAAAAGCTAACAGAGAAGCCCCGTAAGATTCAAAAATCGATTGAGAGACCACCTCTGATAAGACTAACACGGACCATCTAGCCTCTTATCCTTTCAAAACTGAAACTGAAGTCGATATTGGACACTAGATTGAACGTGCTTATTGTCGTAAAATTCAAACCTAAAGGTTCGTTAAGGTTGGGCGATATATATATATATTCTATTTATCTCTCACTATCACCTTTATTCCTTGAAAAATCCCATGGTTTCATATAGATTTCAGCTTGTCCTTTTCATGGTTATTCTTAGATTTCAGGTAATCAAAATAGTGAAATACCCAAGGGCGTCCTTGATGTTGATTTTGCACACTCCCGAAGACATTAAAGAGAGCATAGTGCCCATGTTTATAGGTGGTCTTTTTCTTGAGTAAAATATAAATCAGTGACTTATCTTCTCATAAGCAAGCTTTGAAATCTGACTAGTTTAGGGACAAAAGTATTTATGCCTTTTATTGTCCTTTTTCTGTATTCTTGTTTCAAACATCTTGTTGATCAAGCCATCTTAAAGACGTTTGCACGGCTTTCTTTGACACTGCGTCTTCAGGATTAGTCGTTTCGGACGCTAACACATATTTCTTAACTGCGGTTAAGGAACCTCACGATGGGGTTTCTTCTTTCTCATCAACTGATCAATGACAAGACTACCCTTACCCATCAGACTGTATCAAATCTGCCGTTGAATACTCTTAGTAGTTGGCATTACGGCAACTATTTCCTGTAAGAATTAACAGTGCTATTACAGGTGTACGGTGGATTACCATATATTACCTATCCAGTCAGTCACAACCTGTAACCCGATACGTATATACATTGGTTCAAGTTACCCTAGTTCGTTAGCACGTAGGGATGGTATCTCCAGACTAAATCCCAGTATAGTAAAGGAAATATAACTATGGGTCTTAGTTGAAAAGATTTGGCATCAAAGATACGATTCTAGGAAATTCAAATTAGTGAACTAACGGCATAAAAAAGTTATCAGGAATTCAGAAGCTCAGAATTTGAGAGGAGGCATAAAGTAGTTGCACGTGCGCCATTGCAAACGATTTGGAATCGTGTAATCCAAGATCATCGCGTTGACTCCAACCAGGTAGTCTAAATTTAATAACATTGCTCAGTCCAATTGCCATTGGCCGTATCCCTAACCCATGCATTGATAATTGTGGTCCCATAATGCACAAGCGATTCTTCGATGACACTTATGATCGAATACCAGTAATATACGAACATTCCCGAGAATTTCTCCAAAAGTATGTCTCCGACGATGTTAAATATAAATGGTGCTAGAGACGTTATCAGATATGGCTCAGAATAGAAGCCAGTGGCGATCCTGCTGTAACCTTCTTTTACTTTCTTCGTAAAAAATGGTTGTATCTTAACTGAAAGATTTCTTCTGATTGTACCTTTCCGTTCCCCCATTATTACTATAATTATTACACTACTTTACACCAATCTCTTCCTTATTGTTCTTTTTTTACACATCCAGTTCTCAGATTTTAGCTAAGACGTCTGTTAATCTAACCGCCGAAACTGGACTACCATCATTATCAATCTCAGAGGTTAGTCCACCGGGCCATTTTGCTCCCCAATACGTCAAATCGGTTATAGCCTCTTCAATATCACAAAGAGTTTAAGGATTTACATCAATTTACCATTCATGTTTCTTGGAGATAGTGGGTGGCTAAAGCCCAGTTGAACTGTTCCCTAAAGTGTTCTGCCCATCAGTCAAATCTCCTGGATAAAGAGTGATTAGTAGTTTTGTTTTTTTCCGAGATAGATAGTAGACTTATCCCCCGATAGTTGTTACAGAAACAACGTGAACACTTTTAAAGATAGGGATAACTATCGACTCATCCCATGATGTTGGAACACTCTCTAGCTCTCAAACCTTTGTAAACAACGTAGTCATTTCCTTAACCAGAAAGTCACCACCATCTTTGAAAAGAGCCGGAGGTAGCTCATCTGGGTCTCTCTAACAATTGGTTTCTAATACCCGTTTGCTTGACAGGTATGAACAGTTGTCTACAGTTACCTATCGCCACTACCTTTTCTATCTCTTCTACTTTCGCTACCCTCCACTGATCAAAATCGCTGCATAGGCTTTTTCCTAGCCTATGTTCAATTTACCTCCGCTCCTCATCGTGTTCGCGGCTAGACTGGATGAGTTTTAGAGCATTTATCATTCCTGTAGACACTGCTGATGTCCACTGATTTCTCATTACTGCTTATTTTGGGTTAGTAGTAGATATAACTTGTTTCCAAAACTATTTGGATATCGTACCAAGCCACCTCGGGATCGATATCGCTTACGTGGTTGTCTAACTCCTTTCAGTCAGTCAGTAACAACGTAGAACTTCATACGTACGTACATCAGTTCGAGTTGCCACACCACATTAGCACAGAGATGCAGTGGTCGATTCAAATCCCGTAGTGGTAGCGGTAGTAAAAGTAGAAGCAGTAATCGGAAAGATTAGGGTTTGAAGATGTTATTCAAGGAGTATAATCCAGTGAAATAAATTTGGAAAGAGAAAAAAAGAAAGGGATATAAAGAATTCAGAAGATTAGAATTTGGGAGAACACAAAGAGTGGATGCACCTGCGTTATTGTAAACGATTTTGAGCCATGTCATTCAAGGTCTCTAACCATCTATCGTTATTCCTGGTCTAACTCCTTTAGTTGTTCCTGAAATATATTCCTAACTTTGCATTATTAAGTTAGACCCTAAAGTGATTTCTACGTCCAGAAAAATGCAAACAAATACGCGCTCGAACTAGACCATGATCCGAGTCTAAACGTGTGCTCCATAATGAGCGATAGCTTTCTATCGAGCCTCTCCAACGATGATTAGTGTTACCATAGTCCAGGTCAATTGTGGCGTCCCCGAGTCAAGTGATGCTTTTCCTTCTGCTTGAAATTGGTAAAAACACGGCTATCTAAATATATTCTCAGTAAACGTAGGAAATGACATCGAGTTCTTAGTACCCCGATCCGTCGGACAGCGCACACAAAAGTAGATCGTACCAGTTTTTTATATTGACAAAGTGAGGTCAAACAAACGACCGTACTTGGATTCTGTATACTCACGAGACTCTGGAGTCCTAACTGAAGAAGCCTGTGGACTTGTTTGACACACTATTCGAACACTAAAAGCTCCAAAATGTAGTTTATAGCGTGGCTTCATAATACCAGGAATGATATTTCGTGAATCCAAATCATTAGCATTTGTGGCACGTGGTTTTTCTTGGGTATAGGATAATTATTAAGAGGTTCGGAGGAAATCCGATGGTGAACAAAATGATCTTCGGTGCTGTTAGACGTAATGAGAGCGTTAGTCACTTATCGGCTTCCTACACTGTGGATAGATATTTCTTTTTGAGGGATCCGATAAAGAAGCTGGGTCGGTATTAGCCGTAGAGAGTTGAGAGCGTTACCATAGAGCTCAAAGGACGACTGCTTAGGGTCTATGGCCCACGCCCTTTTAATGGGGTAGATTTTGATGTATTGTCTCCGCACTTCGAAAGAGCTTACCGTCGGAGGCGGAGTAAGATGAGGTGACATTTTTAGGGTCGACCTGCAACACCTTCCGTTGTGCAAAGGTAGATGCTACGGTCTGGAGCTGTCCACAATGTCGATGGATATTCTATTTCCAGGTACTTAAAAAGAAATCCTGATTAGTAGCTGTTTTCCTGAGCTCAACCACAAGGCGCAAAGAATTATTGGTGAACGTCGGTTATACCCGGGTTTTCAGTAAGCAGTATTTTTGATTGCGTTAGCTTGGTGGTTCTGATTTCTTATCTTCTGTGGCAATAGTCCGTTGGTCAAGGTGAGGTGTACTATTTTTTCGAACCCTTTGATTTCACTCTGGAAATGCACCATTACTGGAGAGATGCTGGTTATTCGAAAGAAACCTTGCAGCTGTAATACTTAAGTACAGTCAGTAACATGACTTCACTTCGAAACTTACGTTTCTCTATAATTAACACAGACCAACGGATCTGCCTTTTTTATCACTCAAAAACAAAGCTATTTAGCCTGGGAAATATATATTCTCCGCCGGAATCTTTTTTTTACTTTTAACTTCGTTTGTTTTTTCCTACAAACTGAAAACGTATTAGTTTGTTGTGTATTTTCTATTTGCGCTAAAAATATATGCTCTTCATATTTATTGGATTTGAAGTTTATTCCTGTACCATGTTTCACGAGCAGAGTAATGATTTTCGTGGTTCAGAAAACCATCGAGTCACAAAATGCCTACGAGTATCATAAGTGTGCTGATTTTCCTGTCTTATAATAACGAACAGTATCAAGATTATAAAAACCGTATGTCAAAGTTGTGTGACTGGACTATAGGTTATTCCCAAAACGTTCACAAACAACTGTTTGAGACTTCACTGTTGCACTATAATTGCAGAAATCTCAGGCTATTGTGAAATATCTGATAAAGTCACTTCTTGAATATTACATAAAGTATGAAGCTTACCGACTCACGTAAGACCTTATATTTACTATTATGATAATTTCTGAAAGCTCTTATATTATAGGCTAGCTAATTTTGACGGTCTTTTGTTATTCGCTGCAAATAAATTCTCTAGTTTTGCGTTTGGTTTTCTATCCCCACAGATTACACAAATTTGTCGGAAAGGTCTGTATTTTGCAGTGGTGCCTCATTCGAAATCTTTGGGTTTCACATGGTAAGAATTTTCTTGTTGGTTTATCAATTCAGTTGGTCCTAGTGATCGGTGACTTCCACATTCCTGACAGGAAACGTTCTTTACATCCTGCTTTTAAGACTCTTTTAGCTCCTGGAAAAATCCAACATATATTATGCACGGGAAACCTTACTTCGAAACATATGTTTGACTATTTAAACTTATTTGTGGAGATGTACATGTTGTGAAAGGCGACTTTGATGAGGTATGTTTTGAAAGCTATTGTCATGAAATTTAAGGCTTTAGATTTCCCTCTTACAAAGGTTTTAAGCGTTGGAAACTTTAAGATAGGACTTATACATGGACATCAAATAGTTCCTTGGGGAGACCAAAAAAGTTTAGCTACGCTGCAACGGGAGTTAGACGTTGATATATTGATCAGTGGTCATACTCATAAGTTTGAAGCCTATGAATATGCTGGACACTTTTATATCAATCCTGGTTCTGCTACCGGTGCATATAGCCCTTTTGAAAAGTAAGTACTACTTCTTTACTTTGTTCGCCAATGACTGAGATTTGCATTGGGATTCAGTATTTATTGATGAATGTGATTAATCAGTAGGTAACTAGCGTATGATCTAAACAACCTGGATTAATTCCATGCTTCACTGTTCAATATTGACGAATCATATGTGTATATTTCCTTTTTCGTTTCTTTTTTCTAAATAGAAACCCGCAACCTTCATTTGTTCTTTTGGATATTCAAGAAACCGCAATACAGTTATATGTGTACACCCTAGTCAATGATGAACATAAAGTTTCTCGCATAGAATACCAGAAAAACAAATGTTTGTAACTATGATCTAACTGTATTCATTGTATTTTAGCAATATCTTGTAATTTATTTCTCTTCTTCCCATTATAATAAAACTGATTTTGACTACATGCATTCTTACCATTTCAAAGTGCTTAATTTTAGTATAAAAGCAGGAGGAATAGCACAATTCCCCGTAGTCATGAATGCGAGTTTTTATTCAGCGAGTCGACAATTCAGAGTAAATCGGCTTCAGTTTTAGCTTTCTGCTTCAAAAACTCCAGATTATATGACCTATTATTCAAAATAGAAACTTTTCCAGGATATTTCTCGTAATTCCTTTCGTAGTAGTGTTATAAAGTGATTTTTCCCCCATGTTACCTTGCGATGTTTTGGAATTTTACGCCTCCTTTCTAAGTCTACTACCTAGCATTTCAATTTTACTGAAGCATATCTACTATATAAATAATTTACATATCGTGCGTAAGACTAAGCGATTCTCAGTCATCAACATGGACTTTGTGAATTCTCTACGAGAGTATTAGATTACTTCTCTCCGTGCAAGTAATTGAATACGCAGTTTTTAGTAGACTGAATGCGAACCGTCCAGGAAACATGTGTACATCTAAGCAACAAATTCCTGTTAAAATGAAGAAAGATATATTTCCGCACACTAATTGCAAGCTTATATGTCATTAAGGAATTTTAACGGATCCCGACCTTTTCCAAAAATTGGACTAATGACTATGCTGTGCCTCTGTATTTTTATATTATAGTTACTCAATTACCCTGCTGCATAACTAGAAATCCTCAAACAGTATTTATCAAAACATAGTGTAATCGTCTGTAGATTGCAAATGATATTCTGAGATGCTGTTTGCGGAGATATTGAGCCCACTCTTATCTCATATTCATTTAGATAGTCAGCTACGATCTGCCAAGCGGCATAGCTGGAACCGGTTATCCACAAGATTCTCAGCACCGATATCTATCCAGAACCTGAGTCGGTTTTAAAATGGCTTTTGCAACGAACTGATTATAGTGAAGTGACAGCTAAGATTAACTTTATTAATCTACCGTTACTGTTTCGCATACAATCAAACTTATTCACAATTTTTTGCTACACAAAAGCGCATGGAAACCAGTTTCCGATGGTTTTGTTTTAATATTATCCGATATAACGTAAGAATGTCACTATTACTGTACATATATACTTAGAAGTTAAGGTCTTGCGACTGGTGTATAAAGGTTTAAATACGAGACAGTAAAACTACATAGTAGTAGCTGGCATTTGCTCTCTCAACATCAATAATACTGCCGTAGGTTGTACGTTGTAAATGATGTTTATCTAGGTGAAAGTGATGTATTGCATAGTAGGAACGAGGATTTTACTTCGAAACATGACTTGACACTCCTAAGTGTAAACTCGTACTATAAGAGTTTTTGGTTTCTGGCCAATGAAGATATCCCTAATAGGCACTAAATAATATAAGGACTGAAAATTACGAATTATAACTTCAGATACTACGGCACTTTTCATAGAGCCAGTCACAATAATGTAGTAGATAGGCAATGCGAACACAGTAGGCAACTGATGTTGTGGTCTATTGTTGGTTTCATGCGATGGTGCAGTAATTATTACTTGCAAAACCGCATTATTAGAGCAGAACTGTTGGTTGTCACTTCCAAAACGGTAAAAATAATAAATACAAAAGTAAGCACAATTCAAAGTCATTCAAACACTAGAGATTGTAGGATATGCATTGCGGAAGTAAATTATTTGCTTTGAATAGTTCGACTTACGGTAATGCTTGTGTTGTTTTCATTACCCCGATGACATTTTTTGCCTGATGACAGGTCAATCTAACCTAGTGTCTCAATGGCAAATAATGACAAAAGCTCAGTAAAAATGCCTCAAACATTTTATTATTTTAACACATATTGGTACAAGGAGGCACCAAATACATATGCGCCACAAATCTCATTCGATATGTGTGAGGGCTGTGATACTGCCCGGGTGCCCAGACCAAGCAGGTGGCTTCTTAGGGGGCCACACCCCGAGCCTTCGACCTAAAGGTCTGATCCACAAGGCAGTGGAGCATCGTGAGAAGATGCAGTCCCATGGAAGCCAGTGACCAACAATTGGTTGATACGCCATTTGTTCCCGCAGGATACTGGAGCCCATGTGCACCATTGGTTCGGAATCCAGTTAAAGCGCCGGATATTCGCTTCTCGTCCTCTCACTTTCATAAACAACACCCCCGCCACGAGAAGGCAGTGAGTAGGACTCCCTGGCAGAGGCTGTGTACGCGTGGCCGTGTGAGAGCATTTCGAAGAGGGCGGGCCCTCCCCACTCTCGGCCATACCAGGGAATTCGGAGGCCATCAAACATTTTGGGTTCTTTTATCACGTGAGTAGTTTCTAAGTGTGAGAATAGGTACATGTTACAGCAATTAAGTAGCTTTGAAGTAAAGGAAAGGTCGAATTTATGGTGAGTCAACTGTAGAGAGGTCTGTGACCAACGACTTCTTACAAATTGTGCACTTTACAATGTATATGTATTATATGAACAGAGAAAGCTGAATAAATGATACAGATATAATCTGTCGAGAACGAAGTAGACTGGCTTCCGCTTAGTTTATGATATTAGGTGGATAGCTTTTCACCCGGATTACAAACATTAAAACAGTGAAGTTTAAAGTGAGTTGTTATATATATATATATATATATATATATATATATATATATATATATACTCGTTATGTTATAAGTTTATTGTTTATGATAAAGAATCATGCTGCACATCAGATGGATGATAATGTCAGCCACAGGGACATCCAAACAGTGACTGACTGTGAGGGCAATATTTGTAAACCATTGATGGGATGTGAAATGGATGGATATCAAAAACGTCTATCACAGCAATCCTGTGCAGAAAGTAGCAATATCCTTTGAGTTTCCTTAAGCCTCGTAAAGTGAAGAATTTGTCGTGTGTTGCAATTTCCAACTTAGCAGTTAAACTTTGGGTTGAACACTGACAGGTTGCTTCTACTTAAATCTAGTCAGTATCTGTGTTTGGATATATATGAAAACGTTCTAGTGATTACAGCCATTTTTGGTTCTTAATATCGATCACATTATGTTCTCACGATATGGAAACTTCATACTAACAACAACTTTAATTTACTCATAATTGGAATGCTCAACGAATGATTACTTTTCATGGGGTTAGGATGTAATGCAAGCAGATACGAGTCAAAGACAGTAGGTTAGGTATGAATGGTAGTTTTTTCTACTATAATAATATAGGCCAATATCTTTATACTGAGACGTAAAAATCTGTGACTTATTACCGTGATTATTCAAACACACCGTGACAACTAGTTGGGTTAATAAAAAGTAACGAAAAGCTTGTTGAACAAATGAATTCAAACGGTTCCAATTTTTGTATAGTTAAAAAGCTACTCACAGTCTATTTCACTTAAATATACAAGATATATACAGTAAAAATGGGATAATTGTTCATTCATCTTTTTCATAGTGAATGGTAACTTTACGCTTCTTTTTAGGATTTGTCAGGACAAGATTATGTTCAGCTTCCTCTTCTTCATTTTCCTCATCGATCACTCCGATATCTTCAATATCTTCAACGTCAGATCCTGAAGTGTAGGCGATTTCTTCTTCTTCTTCCTCGTATTCTTCATCAGATTCTTCTTCATTTATTTCTTCAGCTTCCAGAGCCTTTTCAAAGGCAGATTGATCTATGTTATATATTTCCTTGGAAGATGTTGATGCGCGTAATCTTTCTAAAAGTTCTTGTTCTACAGTACGTTCAATGCGTGCTACACGTAATGCTTTTGCTTCTCTCCTTAATTCACGTTTTTCAACCGTACGATTAATAGGTTCTAATTTCTTTTGTCTTGATAAGGCCAAACGCCGCATATTTTTAAGATATTCTCTTGTGCGAAAGAATCTCTGCTTAACACGACTTATTATCCATTTATCCCAATATAATAAGTGCTCTTTGATTTGTTTCAGAGCTTGTTCTTTATTCCGGCGCAATTTAATCCGCTCCCACTGTTTACCAGGATAAGGTATACGTTCAGGTTCCTTGACATACAGGTAGATGATACCATCTCTTTCTTTTATAGTGGCATACTGTGAGTTGGCTAATGGGCAAGAATGTCGATTACACAATCCCGTCACATTATCATCATTTCTGCAAAACCTTCCTGTTTTAGTTTTGACAACAAAAGAACAGAATGAATGGTTGATAGTGTGCCATATTACGTCGTCGTTATTCATTTCTTGAAAAAGCAAAAAAGGTTAGAAGAACATGATTAACAATCATATTTAAACAAAAAAGTACAGTTTTAGTTATTTAAGTGACTGCAAATTGTATTATTTATCCTTGAATGTTAAGCTAAAGGTCTATTTATTCTTAAATGAATAATTTAGACACAGAACTCGATTATCGTGCAATATTGTTACATTTTATACCAATGATAACAGAGCGACTTATTTACCAAGTGGATATTCGGATATTTTGAGCTAAACTTTTTGTGTGCAAGGTACTTGAATTGAAGTGGATGGATATGTAGTACAGTCAGGCTGAAAAGTTATAATATACACTGAAAAAACCAAAAAAACTTCCATCATCCCTGACAAGACTCTATCAGACAACACCTCATCAAGGTTGATGAGATGCCTCCGAGAAAAATCAAGTGATCGGGACGCTCGGCTGCTTTACTTCACACTACCAGTTTAGGTGTTCATGCAAGCCCGTTTCGAAGTAATATTTTGGATTTGGAGGAAACGAAACCGACCACAGACATACAAATATTGTTGCTTGAAGCAGTTTGAAGACTGTTTTCTTATAAGACTGTTATAGCTGAATGTCTAAGCAAAATTAAAAGAACAAACTAGGAAAAGCGAACAACCTTGGCGAATACTATTTGAAATATTAACTTTGGTGACAGTTCGCCACAATTTTTACCTTCATCAGCAGTGTTACCAGATTGAACTTACATAATTTTTGAAAT